GCCATCATCATAACAATAACCTGGAGACTTACACTTGGGCTGTAATTTTATTGCAATAAAAAAGCTACAGTACAAAGAGGAAGCTACAGGAGGGAGCACATTGATACTATACATAAAACAGAAAAACAGATTTTCTGAGAAAATGAAGACAGCATTAAGGCAGTATACTCTGCTGCAGGTTGCATCAGTGGGGGGGTTATTTCCATGAAAGCAAGAAGTTTGCAGTCCTGGTAAAGTTTGATGCCTAAATGCCAACTTGCTGCAAGCGCAGGGGAGGTATCAAGTCAAGACTAATCTTCTGAAACTACAAAGCCTGAACTTTCTAGCTGGGCAGATTTTGGTTCAGGTGGCTGGGAAAGACCTAAGTAGGTCTCACCCTTCCCTAAATGTCAGATTTCTTCCACAGGCACACAGGAACAGTGCTGCATCAGTCCTGAGCTATCTCTGCCATGAGGAGGCAGCCGCCCCAGAGCACTCTCTACCACCCACCCACACCATCATGGGCTCCTCTCTCCATGGGGCCACAGATCCTGCTAGGAACTTGCTCCAGCATGGACTCTCCTCAGGGTCACAGCCTCCCTTGGGCATCCATCTGCTCTGGCATGGGGTCCTCCCTGGGCTGCAGGTGGATATCTGCTCCACCGTGGGCCTCCATGGGCTGCAGAGGGACAGTCTGCCTCACCTGGTCTTCACAGAACAACTGTATTTCTGAAACAGCAGGGGGATTCTCAATAGGAAAAACCAATTTCCTTCCTACCAAGTCTGAAAAAGACCTGCAGCTGAAAGTTGGCTGAAAATGAACTTGTAATAGTGTCAGGTTGATTTTTCGACAGGAAGCTCTTGCAGTCCAGTAGATCCAGAAACTGATTTTGAATATTTTATTTAGAACGGAGTTTCCTTTGAGACTGCTCTTTTCTTTTCAGAGATAAGAGAGTAATTACCCACTCATGTTTATGCAGTTCAAGGAAATAGGGAGAGCAAAGAAAAGGAGGTAGAAGAATGGACCAAATGAACTCCTACTGCTTCCAGCAGGATGCAGACTTTTGTCCGTGGTACTGGACTTCGGAAACACCGGGGCAAATTTTCAAAACCAGGTACTTAGACTACCTGTGCAAGACGCAGACCCAAATCCTTGGATTGGCAAGTCTCAGGCATATTCTCACAGCCACAGACTCTGTGTGTGGGCTTTCTCTCTCTGTGGCATGCCGTGCAGCTACTGTGCCTCCCTAAGCAGCACACAAAGCCCGATGACTGTTCAGTGAACACAGCTCCTCTGGAAATATATGTGTCTTATTTTAAGCACCACTTAAACCATTATCTCATAAGCAGCACTTATTTCTCCCCCTCCCTCTTAAGAGATACTAATGAAAACAAACACTGTTTATTTAATCTTAGTGCATGTAAGGGGAAAGAGCACTGCACAGTAAAGACTTTTATAAACCTTCAAAAGTGTGTTGCCAGACCTTCCTTCCCAGGCCATTGCAGAACTGCCTGACTTTCTCTGGTCACACATTCCTTCATCAGGAAGTGTTTTAAACAGCCTGTACTTCAAGTAGGTGTCAACATCGCTGGTTATTACGCTTCATGACAATCTCCAAGCGCAGAAGGCAAGCTGGCCTTCACACTAAATGACAACATGTAGCAGCACAAAGAGCTTCACACATCCCCTAATGACTCTTGGTTTTCCTGGTTGAGGAAAGGGAAGTAGAAGGGAGGTTACAGAAGTTTGACTACTAGCAGCTTACTCTGTATAGAAAAAAGTAACCTTTTTAAATCAGACAGGGAAAATTTCCTGGCTATTTGTCTCTGCATATCTAAACCAAACTTTTAACAAAATTCTTTACAAGCTAATTTAGGCCAAATCATTTCTGGGATTCTGCAAGCTCTTGTGCTCATGCTTTTCCTGAATAGCCCTCATTTTGGTAAGCTATGAAGCTTTCTCCTTGGAGGTTCATGTTGTGCTGAATCATCAACTCCTATGCAATGGCTTCTCTGAAATACATTGCTTTTGCCAAGAAGTTTATGTGCAGTTCCAACCCAGGATCTCCTACCACAAGACAACAAACAAACTTCTAATATATGGCAGATTTAAAAGTTCTTTGGCTTTTTTCTAGCTGCTCTGTAAATTTTCTTCTTTAAACCAGGTGGGACAGTCATTTCTAATCAGAAAAGCTAAGACTGAAAGACATGCAATGCAAAAGAGTTTCAAGGAGTGTATTACATTTTGCCAATGCTCCCTAAATGAACACTTTTTGTAATGTTTTGTGAATTCTGATCATACTTACATATCTTCTCCAGTAAAGATACTCTATTTTTGAAGTAAAAAGATAAACTGAAACAACTAATTTTTCCATAATAGGGAGTACTTTTTATCTGTCATTTCTGATACTTTTGTGCCATCATCATAACAATAACCTGGAGACTTACACTTGGGCTGTAATTTTATTGCAATAAAAAAGCTACAGTACAAAGAGGAAGCTACAGGAGGGAGCACATTGATACTATACATAAAACAGAAAAACAGATTTTCTGAGAAAATGAAGACAGCATTAAGGCAGTATACTCTGCTGCAGGTTGCATCAGTGGGGGGGTTATTTCCATGAAAGCAAGAAGTTTGCAGTCCTGGTAAAGTTTGATGCCTAAATGCCAACTTGCTGCAAGCGCAGGGGAGGTATCAAGTCAAGACTAATCTTCTGAAACTACAAAGCCTGAACTTTCTAGCTGGGCAGATTTTGGTTCAGGTGGCTGGGAAAGACCTAAGTAGGTCTCACCCTTCCCTAAATGTCAGATTTCTTCCACAGGCACACAGGAACAGTGCTGCATCAGTCCTGAGCTATCTCTGCCATGAGGAGGCAGCCGCCCCAGAGCACTCTCTACCACCCACCCACACCATCATGGGCTCCTCTCTCCATGGGGCCACAGATCCTGCTAGGAACTTGCTCCAGCATGGACTCTCCTCAGGGTCACAGCCTCCCTTGGGCATCCATCTGCTCTGGCATGGGGTCCTCCCTGGGCTGCAGGTGGATATCTGCTCCACCGTGGGCCTCCATGGGCTGCCGGGGGCCAGGCTGGCTTGGGCTGCAGAGGGACAGCCTGCCTCACCATGGTCTTCACCACAGGCTGCAGAGGAATCTCTGCTCAGGCATCTCCTGCCTTCCTTCTGCAGTGACCTTGGTGTCTGCAGGGCTGTTTCTCTCCCATTGTTCTCACTTCTTTCTCACACTGCTGCTGCACAGTGGTTTTTATGCTTTTTTAAAATATGTTATCACCGAGGCACCACCAATGTCACTGATGGGCTCAGCTTTGGCCAGTGGTGGGTCTGTCTTGGAGCCAGCTGCAATCAACTATGTCTGACATGGAGGGAATTTCTGGTGTCTTCTCACAGAAACCACCCCTGCAGCACCCCGCTACCAAAATCTTGCCACATAAACCCAGCACAAGAACCCTGTGGGAATCTCACCATAAATCAGGGTACATCATCTTTACTATGTGCACCTTATACCCTAGGCCATGGGCACTCTGCAAAACAAAACAAACAAAAAGCACCCACTGAGTCACACACAGACTCAAGTCACGCCAGTATTGCCTGCCTCCTTCTTACCACTCTCTAAGCTCTTACAAATAGATCATTTGATGATTTGTTTCAATATTTTTCCACGTATCGATGTGAGCCTTACTGAACTACAATCTATGGACTTAATCCCCCTCCTCCCTTCTTTCCCTCACCTGTATTTTGCTTTTCTTCTAGACTTTTGGGACCTCACCTGCCTGTAGTCACTTCCCAAGGATAACAGCCAAAGACTCACATTTTGCTCCTGAGAGTTTCCTTCTTCAGCATTCTGGGGTGAACATCACCAACTCAGCACTGACATCAGCACTCTGTCTTACCTAAACATTCTCACATCTGCTCTAACCGGTCCTTTAATATTCTATTTTACAAAGACCCCAGCTTTTTCTACACAATGTGTTATTTGCTTGTCTTCCCTATTAAGTAAAGGACTTGATTTTTTCACCTTTTTCCTCTTCCCCTAGCCCATTTCTCAAATTTCTTCCTTGATAAACTTAATCAATGATGTACCTTCAACTTTCTACCTTTGCAGAGCTACTCCTGTGTCCCCTGTTCCATGCATTTCCTTCCTATCATTTGACAGCTCCCAGTGCAGATGTCTATACCTACAGGAACTTCAACATGTTCAGAATGTCACAAAAACCATTCTCAGTGACAGTGATCACAGACCATCCTCATAACTAATGACATACATAAGCAAGCAAGTGCGTGTACAGTGAATTACGTTTTCCAGAAAGTGTCACCACTACTCAATGCTTGAGATGAGGGAGCACTTTTCTGTAGTTATGAGAGTGAAAATACTGTTTTCCGTGAGAAGATTCCAGATCTTCTAGTCCATGAACACCTTTGTCTTCTCTTGAAGCTCCCTACACCAAACACGGTTTAATCGGCTATGTTAGAGAAAAACTGCAGTTTCCACTGATTGCAATTTCCATTTTGAAAGGACTGAGGCTTTTTAGCTGCCAGAGCTGCTCTGTAATCCAGGATAATGATTCTAATCTAATCTATGTCAATCTGTACTCATGTACATAAAGAATTCAGACAATGTTGTATTACAGATTTAAAAAAACTAATTCTCTCATGTTCTCCCCATCACACTGAAACGTCAAGCACTGCATACTCCAATGACACGTCTGAAGACTGGCATTTCCAGCCTTCATTAAAATGTATCATGGCTAAGCAGTATTTGCAACGTAGTCTGTACAGAATTTACAGATTCACTTTTTATTTTTTAAACATATTAAAAGAAAGTTCCCCATGTACTTTCAGAGAGAGGCTTGGAATAAAAAGCATTGTCAGTTATGCCCATGCACTGGTTCATGTGCTTACAAGCACTAACTGGGTTATGGTCGTACAGCTGACGTAAGCAAATAGCTGGTGCCCGCCTTGCACAGCAAATGTCTTCTGCAGGCATGGTCTTCAGCACCCACACCAGCCACAGCCTGACGCCACCAGACCTGTGAAAAGAGCTGTGATGCACAAGCAGGGAGGAAGGCTTTGACGCAGACCTCCATAGATCTTCATGAGGTTGTCGTCAGACATGCGGGTTCTTCCAGAGGGCTGACCAGCCATGCCGCACAACACTTTGTGTCCCACAGAGAGGCGATCAAGCATTGCATTCATATGCAGAGCAGTTTCCTCTGAATAATAACCAAGCTGTGAAAGGTATCACATACTCCTGCCACCCCCTCCCATGATTTGTGGGTTTTATGTTTAAAGAGAAAATACCCTCAATGAGATCTTATGTGCTGCCAGCTTCTGAAGTCAAACTCTGCAAACTTAGTACATTGAAAGGCTGCTTCTGGGCTGGTACTTTGTCAGTCTGATTTGCCAAAACTCATCCAGAATTGAACCACAATTCTTTTTTGAAAATTTAACAGAGTATGTACAGTACTCATTGTGATCAATAGACCATCCATCCAGATTGCTTATTATGTATTTAAAATATGTAATTTTCATATGCAGTGCAAGTATCTAGTTAATAATGTTTTTACCCTGCAAAAGATGTATCACAAAGTTTTAGCTTATGTTGATTATACAAAGAACTTCAGTACACTCAGGCTCTCTAAAGCTTTGGCTTCAAAAAGGAAGGCAAAGTATAACATAATTTTAAATTATTTGTTACATCCTGGTAAAAAAAAAAAAAAAAATTTTTTTCAGGTTCATTATAATGCTGAGACGTTTGTCCAGGTTTTTGTTCAGAGATTCTTTCCTTACACCTCCATCTGTAATCTTTGAAAACACAATTTTTTTCCCCCACTGACTTAATAATAAACCTGTTGGCAATGGCAAATCTGGGAATTCAGTCAGGAAACTAATGTTTTTAATGAAACAACACTAATGCTTTTTAAACACTGAATACACTGACAAACTTGAAAAACTGTTGCAAGCAGACAGATCACAGAAATTTGTGGAGGACTATGTCCTGTCTTGACAATAAAGCCAGGTGGTTATGGCTGACAAAATATTAATGATCACGGCTAATGGCAGGCCATGCTCTTTAGTGCAAGCCGTTTATATTACATTTTCTATAAATGCCCAAGGATCCAAAAAGTGTTGTGCACAATGCAGACTGCAGTCTCAGGGACACTGGAGGCTATATCCCACTCTCGGTCCCTCTCCTCCTGCAGTCTTCCACTTCTTCCATTTACCTGCTGAAGCCATCAGCAGTTCTGTGACTTTCTACCCATGATTCATATTTTTCTCCCCTAAGCATCTCCACTTTGGGGAAGACTGCGCACCGTTTATCTCAGCAAATCTCCCAATTCTGTTTAGGGTCAGTTAGTAAATTAGGTATGCAGAGCGTAAACTAAAATGCCTCATAGTAAAAATGTTACAGACTTAGGTTACACCTAAGTGTCTATCCTTTCCCTGGTTCTATCAAAAATGTGGTTCAGACTGATGGAAACTAGGGTCTACCTAGAAACTAATTTAGGTACTTAAAAATGTTCAGCCATAGCAAGAGGAAGCAATGAACATAACCTCGATATGACCTGAGGGAGGTGGAGGGTCTACACACACAGCCACAGGGCCATGATTTATCGCAGGACACTGGAACACGCACAATCTCTAAGCTAATACTAATGAGGGTTTAAATGCGCATCACCCATCTTTTTTCCCCTGGTAAACTCACAAGGGAAAACAAATGATTCAGAGCTAGCTTGAGTAACATCGTATCACATTGAAACTGTAACACTGACAAAACCCCTAGATTTTTCTGTTTTCCTGGGAAAAGATGTTATGGAAATAAAAGAAACGAACATAACCATCAGAAAGACATCACTAAGATGTTTTTCCAGTATTTACAGGAAAAGAGAAGTTTTCAGTAACAGCGTTTACTCTTGGGCACCATTTTCCCAGTAAAGAGAAGTTTAGCTCTCTTTAGAGTTGACAGGCAGCCTCAAATGTGTGCTTCTGCTGCTTGGGACGGTTAGAAACCCTCTCTATCTCCTTTCAAAGGCAGCAGAAAGTTGAGGTGGGATATAAAGAGTGAAGAGTAGCTGAGTTATACAATAGCCTTTCAGCTGCAGACATCTGATGTAGGTCTGAGAAATAGCTTAGGTCAGAAGTGGGACATGGTGATGTCATGCAGTTGTACATATAGACAATGACGGCACAATGTGGAAAATATGTCAGTTAGATAAAGAACAAAACACAATCAAAGCAGCCCAATGTTAAAGAACCAGAACCAGAATTCCAGGGTATAGAAAAACTAAGTAACACCCATCTAGCTGTATCTATTAATCTTTCAGATACATAAGCAATAAATTCACTCCAAAGCAGATGTTACTGAGAAATGTTTCTCTCTGTTATGTACTCTTGTTCTTAGATGAAGCTAGTTACAGGCTATTGCAAGCCACTTAGGAGTTTCAGGTCATATATTTCAAATTAACTGCTTCATTTCTCTGTATTCTTATTTCTGAGTAGGACTCTTCAAAGCCATTATGTCAGTTCCCGTAGGAAAAAAAGCCTGATACCTGAACAACACGCTGCTATCCTACATTTACTCCAACATCTCTAGATTTCTCCCTGCGGCTGCATTTAGCCAATTCAAGCACTTCTGAAGTCCCTTGCCTTTGGTAAGCCTTTCTGTAGCAGCATAAATGCAAAATTTATCTACAGGGCAAACTTGCCATCAGCAACAGAGTAGAATTAAGACCTAATTGCATGGTGTTCTAGTGTAAAATCTGTGAAGATGAGTAATTAGAGTATTAAATTTATGCCTTTGTTGCTCTAAAAGTAAAAAGCAAAAGACACCTTCCTTTAGCGGCATTGCTCTTCTAACATGGGACTACTAAGGCCTTAATAAAAAATAACAGAAGAGGGGAAAAAAAAGAAATGAGACATGTAGTTCAGATACCTCTTTGCTTTTATCAAAGGACAAAAAAGCTTCCTCATCATAGACTTCACAAATAGCTCCAGTAAGACCTAAGCTTACTGTGGGGGTTGTTTTGCAGTATCGAGCTACAATAATAGAAAATTAAGTAAATTTCCTGAATTATTGCCCTGAGGCAAAAACTCACCTTCTTATTAAAATACAATTTTTGTGCCGGTCTGTGTCAGAGACATGATTATCTGAGAAACTGACTACCGGTCATTATCCTTTCATTTGAGTTCTTTGGGAAGTCAAGTTAGGCTCGTTTCTTAAGAAGTGGCACATTGGCCTTTTTGAAAGGTAAAACCAAGGTGTTTAAATATACATGCATTGCACCTCCAGTGAAAATCACTAACTTCTGGCATAGTCCACTGACTAATATTTCAGCAGGGTGGGCCTGGGTAGAGGCAGAGAAATCAAATGCCGCTGCTGCAGAGATGCTGAGATAGCCTGGCCATATGGTGAAACTCTGTGGAAAGAAGGAAAGAAATCCTGAAAAGGTCACTCTGACTCAGAAGACCCACGTTTCTTTGGCTGATTCATTTGGTTTGTGAAACAGCTCTCAGTTTTGGTCACTGGATTGCTCTCAAGGGGTAAGTGCGCAGGGCAAATATTATGTGATTACACTCAGCAAATACTTCAGTATGTCACAATTCCAAACAACATTGTTGTTATTTATTGCAAATCCTCCCTCTCCTCTCAGAAGAAAGGAAAGAAACAGGACAGGTGGAATTAGGATATTTTTAGTGCATTTATTGGCAGGAAAAAATGAAGTACATTGACAAATATCCCCTTTGCCAGCCACACAAGAGAAGATGAACTGTATTATTTGCATCAAGTCAGACATCATCCCTTTGTTGAACTGGTCTGAGACCACGTCACCCCTGCTTGGGAATCCACTATTGACTCACTGAGCTTCCACTCAATGGTTCGCTGCTCATGAATTCAGATGAATCCTCTCCACTTCACAAAGGCACAGACAAGAGCGGCAAACACAACAGTGAACTCCAAACACTGCAAGGAGCCGAATCCATTCTGCACTGCATCATGGAAATTAAAACTTCTCACCAACACACAAGGAGTGGAGGCAGCACTTTAAAATCTAGGTGCATGATTTTCAGCCAGAGATTCTTTCATCCTACATTTAATGGAAAGCAATGCATGTTACATTCCATCATCAGACTACAATGGGAACAAAAATGCTAGTGTGGGCCACAAGAGGGTGTGAGAACAGGAAAGTACTATTTATGGAAGTAAAAATAAGTGCAACATACCCAGTCAAAGTGCATTTTTTTTTTTACTTATTTCATTTGCACTTTCAAATACTGAATTATTCCCCACAAAAGGTATTCTAAAGAAAACTTTCCTTCGCTTTGTTTAGTGATAGTCTTTTGCCATAGTCATAATTTCTGGAATCTGCTTGATTTCCTGGATATTGGCATTTACCGCAGCCTACTGCCTCCTAGTACACATACATGAATTTCTGATGGAGAATGTCCCTTTTCATAGCAGATAACATTTTACAGTCTTACAACACCTCATGGATAATTCCTCAGCCTCTGGTAATTTCCTTATGCCACAGTATTAAAGTATTGTAAAAGAACACATGTTCTCCATATAAGAATTTGTTCTGAATGCAGTTTATAATCAGTTGTGTTATTTCTCTTGCAGGTAAAACAGAATTATCAGCCATATCATGTCACCACCTTTCACTTCTGTTTGCCCACTATTTGAAATTCAAAGGAGAAACAGATTGCCAAACCTATGCTACCCTCAGGACCAGACAGCAAATCACGCTACCAGAGGGCATTGCAGAGCCACGCTGATGTGTCCTCTGATGAACACAGGATCTCTGAGGCTTGAACGCTCACTTGCAGCTGGGCATGACTCTGTTCCGTGGGAAAAGCACACCATGCCCACACTGGCTCTTGAGATTACTTGTTCAGCGTTGACTCAACCTAGCCAGTAGGTTTTTTGACTATTAAGAAAACTGGGCAAACAGGCAGACATCTTTAAAGAAAACTTAGCAGGCATTCAGACAATACTCAGACAGTACCGAGCTACCAAACATTTTAATAAGCCATGGATGGCAAGAGGGAAAAATGCGCAGCATGCTGATTACTATTTGCAAGGTAACAGAGACAGATATTGCAGCTAGCTTTAGGAAAAAAGAAAATCTGAACAGAGGAAATCCCAA